CCGCTTTCAATACCGATTGCTGGGTAGCATCTTCTCGTCGTGGCTTTTCCGCAGAAGACTCAGCGGGACGTGTCCTCGATTCCACATCTCTTCTACGCTGTTCGTTCTAAAAATAAAAGCCTATGTCATTTCGACTTCAGCATTTTATACCTCTTTTTCGGACCCTATACAACCATTACTACATCAATCTTCCGAAATCTGGCCAGTTTCTTCACCGGCAGCAACAGGTCGCAGAAGATTCCACGATAAACAGTGCATATAAGAAAACTGCGTAACTTACCCACACGGAAAATTTGGCGATTGCACGCAAATGGGAGTAATATATGAAATCCAATGTCAGGCATTTAACTCTATTCATATGGGTTAACAGAAAGGGTCTCAGGAAAGCGTATCAGCGAGCCTTGCTGTTATGAGACGCGCTCCTCTCGAAATTAGGTGCGTATTGCTGGCACAGAGACAGAAATTTCTGCGAGAAAAGCATAAAGTCTTCTGGATTCTTACAAGAAAACCCAGAATAACAGCAGAGGGCCCTTCAATAGCAAGAGACTTCTTACCGTTTGTACTACATTGCGAGCTCTAGAATGACAGAGCGTTATCTACCATTCCGGAATAGCCTGTTATACGGGGACAATGCAGTATTTCTCACTTAGAACTAACTATCGCTCTTGTGTGACAGCAGACCCGTCGGTGAGTTGACTTTCGCGATACTGCGGTCTCCTGAAGGAATTCCTGTCACGATGTCGTAACATCGTGACAGGAATTCCTTCGTGTTCTACTCCACTAAGCCCTTCGTAGTTGACAAGGGGCTTAATGGAGTAGAACATAAGCTAATCCTTGAAGCATGTTCAGGCCTTTGAAGACGATGATTCAGTCCCACCCAACAACCACGTAATGCACAAAACAGTCAAGAACTTATTACTAACATGCCGAGGTTGCAAGAAGAGCTCTTATCAGTGTTCCTAGCAGAATGCGGAATTTGAGAAAGAAGCGCATTTCACATAAGGTAATCATACATTCTCAAACCGCCTATTTACCAACATATTACGACACCGAAATATAAAAGGATAAATTCTTAACCGCTGATCAAACCCTTTTTGGATGCGGCACGCATTCCACTCCTATCTAGAATCGCAGGGACTTTTTTCAATGCGATGTAGCCTAAGTTAGGATTTGTGAGCGCCGACCGATGTACAGGCCGCTTTCTTAGGTATTGTTCACTGTCTGCAACCCAGCGTTTCTCTAGAAAGAAACGCTTCGAGGAGAAGCTTCTAATACGTATCGATTGGCGGTTGGGCGAAGAGTCTGGCGGTTGCGCGAAACGGTTTTGATACGTATCGACGGGCGGTTCGGCGGAGCGGTTGGGCGAAAAACGCTAGCCCGACCGCCCTGGCGTTTTTTCTCTAGGGCGGAGCCAGCGAAATCGATACGCATCTATTGCTTTTCGCCGAACCGCGGCGGCGTTTCTCCAGAGCGGTTGGCGATTCTCCGATCAATACGTATTTATTGCTTTTCGCCGAACCGCTGTTTCGTCAGGGTCGCAGACTGTGAACAATGCCTCATCCTCCCAGACGAACCTAGTACCAAGTCACGCGGAGGGTAGAAGGCTTTCTTAGTTTGGGCGGGAGTCGATCTGGGATATGATTCCAGGATCGTATCGTACACGCGGTAAGTGTGCCACTTGCCACTACATCACCTTCGCGGCACTATGACACCAAAATATGACAAACCTGGTTTTCGTAGCCTTGTTTGCCTGCAGCTCCGTAGCCTAATTCATTGGCAGGTGCTCCATAGCCCACTTGTTGGCCAGGAGCTCCGTAGCCCCGTCGTCGATCATAAGCCGTTCTAGCGGAGCGTGGTGGAGGCTGCTCAACATCATCATTTCTTGGGTTCTTCAAAGAGACAGGTTACACGAGAACAACCGCATGGAGAAAACTAGTTGTGAAAAACTTACATTATCTGAAGTTTCTCTGCGTTGCATATAACGAGAAGGTGGAACTTTCTTCTTTTGGTTTTCCATAACGGCATCCCATTCCGAGTCGCTAGCTTCTCGAAATCGTAGAATTTGCCCTTCTTCCCCTTTGGGAAGGACAATTACATTGCCCGAAGGTGGTGGGCCGGATGGAAACCCAGCCCCGAATAACACACCCCCTGTGAAAGGTTTGCCGTGACTGTCTTCTGATGATTCCCTTGACAACGACGGAGTATTTGTCGTTGTAGGGATTTTGTTTTCATTGCTTGCTTGCTGTTGCGATGTAGCGCGGAAATCAGAATCCGGCGTTACGAGTCGTTTTTCACCGGTTGCATTTTGTCCGATGGACGTCTGGCAATCAGCCCATTCCTCGGAATCATCGCCTGTTTGAGATATGCCGTCTGAGCTAGTTGTTTCACTAGAACTCAAACGGTCGCCCATAGACAGCTCCGCCGGCATTTCTCAATAGGACGTCCAATAAACAGGGTACAGGTTGGACAGAAACGTGAAATACTCCTCCCACCAACTCAGACTCCTTGCTCCTGGTTTCTAAAAGCATTCGTTTTCATATAAAGTCCTGAAGATCGAGCAACACCTTACAGTCCAGTTCCCTGCAGAAGATGAGGCGTGGTGAGCGCGGCTGCGTTTGGCGCGGCACCAAACTCGTTTTCCGCCAGCTGCTGAAGCGAGCAAGCGACAAAACTGTACCACTTATTGTTAGTACCAGTCGCTTCTCAGCAATCGTTTCAGAAATGGTTTCGTAGTTTTTCTACCTATGTCTATTTCTTCTTCTAATTAGCGCAGCGCTATATGCGGCCGCATTGACACGCCCTATCATCCACAGCGAACAAGACAGCAGTAGTGCCGACAACTCGAAAATTTACCGCTGGCAGCACGTACCAAGCAGGTCCAAGCACACTATTTTGTTGCTTGGATGTTTTTATCCTCCCAGACAAATCTGATCCCTAGCGGATCACGAATACTAGAATCTTCTTCACCACACGGCAGATTCGATCCAATGGGATCGTGCAATTGTGAAGCTGCCTGAGGTTTGTAAGCTATATTCCAATATACATAACGAAACCGTTCACATTCCTGGACCCCTCTTTCCAGTGGGTGTGTGACAAGGCAATTGTAATTTGCCGCGTTGCTGGGGGTGGGGGGGGGGTCACACGTGCAAACGAAGATGTTTCTAGCCCAAGGAAGGAGATAGAAAACAATGTATAACCAAAAATAGACGCGAGTATCCACGAAAAAAAAACAAACGGCAGGCTAATACAAATAAAGGAAACACCGCGCGCGACGAAGCGGCAAATTACAATTGTCTTGACCGTCTCCCCTTCCCGTAGAACACATTACAACCCAGTCAGAAGTATTTAATGACTAAGGCATTCGGGTGAAAAACAGAGTCTAGGAGACGAGAAGATTTATTGTAATAAACGACAGAAAACACACTGGAAAATTGAAGCAACAACAGTTAACAACACACAAAAATCAAGTATGAACAAGTAATTCTTCAAGAGTCATTATCAGCGTCAACTCCTCCCACGTACAGAACGTTGTTGCACCTGCAATAACAATGTTAACAGTAAGTAAGAGGGAAGTTTTAGGCATCGTCAGCAGTTTTGGAATACGCCACGCTTTCTATTTCCACTCATCACTGCGGCTACAGTTTGGAATAATTAGACGGTGTAAAGTAAGCATTCTCTAGAAGGATTCAAGACTGTTTCCCTCCTCCCACCTGCATTTGCACCTAGCAAAATAATCACTTCATAATGAAAACGTTCCCATGAATTTACAGTCTAGAACTCGCCTCAGAGGCACGTCCTGCATCATCTGATGCTGTTCTATTCTTCCTTGGATATGAGAGTCTTGTCCGCAAGCATGGACGACGGCTAATGTGGTAGTTAAACAATACATAAGGCAGCGTTCACACCTCGCGACAGCAGCGGCGGTCTCGCCGCGACCGCCCCTGCTCTCGCGAAGTACGAACCTGCCTAAGGAAAGCGCGACCCACTCGTGTCGGAACCACGGTTAGGCTAAGTTTCATTTTTAACTGCTACCTAATGGCCGGTTATTCCGCTAGTGAGTGTCGCCTTTTTGGTGGGGAGGTGATAAGGAGAAAGACATGACACCAACAAGTGAGAACTCGTCCAGCCACGCCCTTTCTTTGCCTTGTGCACGTACAAACACGGCTCGACGTGGTGCATTAAATGAGCCACTTCGAGCAGGTTTTAGTTTTTTTCATCTCTTTTTTGGCATTTAACCATCTTGTCATTTATGACTGAGCCGCACATTTCAGTATTTTTTGACACCGACGGACTTTTGAAGAAGAATTCACACTTGCCTGATAAGGATTTCGCCTAGATTTCCCGTGTTGTTCCCGTCAATATATTCTTCTGCATTGGCCAATTGCAAGTTCATGTATCCGTCAACAGCCACAAGAATCCCTTGAAGATAAGATCTTCAGTGGAGAATTTAGACATTGTCGTCTCAACAAGTCCGTAACTTGTGAAAAGGAAGCAAAACAAGCCCTCTTTTTCCGAATGCTCACCTTTATACTCCATACCCCATTTTAACTTGCATACAATGGGTTTTCCAGTGAGACTATTGAGGAACGGTTTTGGATTGACAGGCTGGAGTGTCGACATAACTAGTAGGCCTTAAAGAAACAATCTCAGCTTGATCGCATTGAAAAATGTAAAAATACGCAC